CCCCTGGAAACCTAGATTTGTGTCTCGATAGCAATGACAAAAACACAACGCAGGCATGAAATTGCTTCTGTGCACCTGTGCAGCCTGATGTGCAAGAGCAATGGCTGGGCTAGCTGGAGGCAGGATTGGAAAGGGGAGGTTGGAATCTTAAGAGGTAAGAAGGAGGTGGGGAAAAAAGTCCAGAACAATGTAAATAGTGTCAATGGGGCTCCCAAAGAATAGAAACATGAAGGGAAGACACTGAGACACCCTTCCGGAGATTCTGTAGGCCAACACTGACCGCTGTGACCTAAGCTTTCTGTTAACGCAAGGGCAACTTGGGGCAAAAAACAAGGGAAGTGCCAAGGACATGGACAGGAAAGGGCTTGGCTTTTCCCCAGGACCTAGAAGGCAAGAAGATTCACCTGGCAAGTGGATGAGTGAAACGGTCGAGGACAGTTAAAGGCTCCAAGGATTGCAATGGAAGAGGTACCAGCTTGAAAGTAGGAAATGAGGCATAATGAGCAACCAGTGTCCGAAGCAGGCTGTCTAGCACTACAATCTTGTACCGTGTTCATTCTGTAGACTGAGATCAGGTGCCCGTAATTTACAGACCTTGCATACAGTTTACACCCTAAGCTTTCTTTACGTCATGGTAAAAATTAATTGTTTTAAAAAATGATTCCCGAGCAACAGTTACTTTGGAGGGGCTGACGACGTGGCTCAGAAGTACAGCACTCGCCTAACATGTCTAAAGCCCTGGGTTTGATCCCCAGCTCGGCAAAACAAATCAAAAAACAGTTACTTTGGAGAGACCAATACAGAATTAAAGCAAACACACTGAATCTTAAGGTTGTGGTCAGAAGATCCTCTCATCCCTTCATCTTTGAGCTTTGGGACTACAGAACTATTGTTTGAGCAGTACACTTCCTGAGCAGCTAGCGTTTGGAGAGATAAGTGTTTTTAGTGGATTGTCTCATTCATTCTTCTGTGAGTTAGATACTGCTGTTCTGCCTATCTTTACAAATTAAGGAATGGAGGCATGGCTAGAAAAGGGCACTGCCTGACTGTGAAACCCACATTCCTTCTAAAACGCTAAGCTGCATTTTTAGTACCGCAAATACCCTACAGCAAGTAACAATAGCCGTAAAATGCTAAAATTAGTGACACCTAGGGTAAGGATGGTCAAACTGCACTGATGGGAATGTGAATCCCCGTGACCTTTCTGAAGAACAATCTGGCAATATTTTCTAGAAGAATTTTAAGTGCAAGTACTTTTTGTTTCTACTATCAAGTGACTAGAAATTTGCCCCAAAGATTAGCTACCAATGACATGCACAAGAAATTCCGTTACAAAGTTGTAGCAGCAATCACTGTGCTTCAGCGGAGAGCTGGCTAACTACATTACGGTACAAGCATGGGGAGAAATGAAGGAAATCTATATTTTATAAAATGGAAAAACTTTCAAGGTATAGAAAGTGGAAACAAGGTGCAGAATAGTGTGTATAACATGATTACTTTTATAATAATTATAAATAGGCGAGTTGACAGTTGTAATATAAATAATGTTTTTCCCCTAAAAGGAAATTCAAAAAGCTTTTAACAATAGATATCTTCGGAAAGGGTAATTGAATTATTATTTTTGTGCATTTGGATAGGTTTTAAATTTTGGTTTCCCCCCTATGTGCTCTATTTAAAAAAAAAAAACCCTAACACTTCATTGGATCTTTTCAATAAAAGCCAAATAATTAGCATGTGTTGGGGATTGTGGGACTTGCTAAGCACTTTACTTGTAATACCTCATTACATTCTCACGTTAAATTCTTATCTGCCTTTTACAGGTGGGAAGTTGCAGAAGCCAGACCTGTGAAATCACTTAATTGAGGTCACACAGCTAAAAGGCAAGGGAACTGCAATTTCACTGTCCTCTTCTGCATTTCAGAGCCCTAACACTCAACTGCTGGGCCACACTCTTCCAATTGATCTTTATGCCCTCTTTGCCTAATGGGAGTTCATTGGGAAACAACTGCAGCTGAATAAGCTAATGTATATAAATGCTTTTCTAAGGATAGAGCTGTTTGGAGAGGTGGCAGTAGCAGGAGGTTTTAAAAAATTAGGAAGTTCTGTTCATGGACCCTAGACAGCCAGAAGATTTTTTTTAAATGAAGTGATGATCAGTGGCTTTTTTTTGACTCCTTCAAAAAATTATAAAGTGATATTCACTCTCCCTTTTCCCAAAAATAGCAGATTGTTGTTTGAAAATTAAAATGATCTGGAAAAGTGAAATTCCTTATTAATACCCTCACTCATAATCAATGGGTTTGTTTCGAATTTGAATGGCTGGCTAGAACTGCATACACATTTTACATAAATGCAAGCATTTTTGTTCTTGGCCATCTTTTCGTTATATGCACTTACAAATCTACTTTTCTCATTCGCATAGTGTCCAATTTTGATATTATATGCATAATTTTAAAAATCATTTTTAAGTTTCAACTGTTTGCTTTCCCAGTCAACGTGGTAGTGAATACGTTTCCTAAGAAAGTTTTGAAGGCCCTTCACAATGAATGTGACAATGTTCCACCCCAAAACACGGACAGCACACTCAGAGATATTCGAGTTGCCAACAGGTGGGTTAGCCTCAAAAGGAATGGCCTATTTTGGCAGTGCAGTGAAAGAACAGAGACCATGATTGCCTGACACTGGTTAGATCTGAAGAGGAACTTTCAGACTCATTTCCAAGCATGGCTAGTGGAGAGCTGGAGATTCCACCAGACAGCCTGGAGACAGATGAGCAAGCAGCACTACTCCAAATCTGGCAACAGCACTGCGGAAAAAGCCAGTGGCCTATGGGGAATTGCAGAATTTAGAAACCAAAGCTCTTCCAGCAGAGGGCAGTACCTCAGATATCGGGCAGGACACAGGTCACTGCAGCCCGAGCTGGGGAATTCACAGGTGAAGCCGCTCAGGCTTGAAGCTGAGCAAAGACTGAACTAAACTGTTCTTTGAGTACTGAAAGTAAGACTGGAGAATAATGAAGAGTGGGCCTCAACACCACTGCGATTCGCCTGTTTTCTAATATCTAACAATTTGAATTGTGTAATGCATCTCTGTTCATACATTTTGGCCATTGAGGCTTGCAAACAAAGAAATCCGGGGTCAATTTAACGAGGCTGGCCACCCACCGTCGAAAGTCTCTAGGTGTACTTGAATCAGAGGGAATGATATGCTTAAAATATAGCCTGGTCTTCTGGCCACCGGCCCCTGTGGATCTGACACTAAGCTTACAAATAGAAAGTTAGCAGAGTGAAAGATAAGAAGTAAAAATTTTATCTAAAAATAGAATCTTAGTGTTTAACACTAATTTGTTTTTGTTTCGAGGCTACAAAAATGGCCTTTCAATCTTTAAAGTGGAACAGCCAAACAGGAACACTGTTATGCATGCAGATAATCAAAGATTAAATGAAATCAATCCACAGGGCTGAAACATTTCCAGTCAACCCTTCCCTGAGCATTGGTTCCCTTTTCTGCAGTGTAGTGGTGGGAATTAAATAGGGACAAAACTGAGTACTATAAAATCTATTTCTAATGCCTTTTTCCCCCAGCCTTGTGATTTTTTTTTAAGAGCAGTGACTTTAGAACTTGCTGGTGGAGTCCAGGCAGATTTGCCAGATAATATAAGTACAGTGGGCGTCTAATTGTCAGGCACAGCTAAGCAAAACACATCACATACGAAGTCAGAACCAAAGCCAAGTCCAAGGTAGTTTGTATGCATTTCTTAGCCAATCAAGTGGAAAAAATACCAGCCCAGAGAATAAACGTCCTGAGCAGCTTAATTTTCCCTCTGACTTCTAGTCCAGGGATGTTCTGTTTGAGTTTCTTCCGAATGCCAGATTTTTTTAGCCAGCTGTCCTGCACAGGCCAAAGAGGGCATGGATTCCTCAAACTCGGCTGGTGGAGGCCGAGAAGCAGAGAGGCTTCCTCGGCTTGGGGTGGGATAGCAGCTCCTGCGGGCGGAAAAGTATGGAGGCTGGAGGTTCTCTGAAGGGCCCTTTTCCTTGGGCACAGCCCCGACCCGAAAACGCCCCAGCCTCCTGGCTTGCTCAGCAGGGTGCGGTGTTAGCGCCACCCGGCTCGCCCCAAAGAGGTGGGACTTTCCCCACCGGAAGTGATCACGTCCAGTCTTGGGGAACTGGGGCACCTCAGCCAGTGTGTCAGGGAAACCCTTCCGGGTGTATGCT